CTTCCATTCTTCCTTCCTTCTTTCTATCCATTCTTCCTTCCTTCTTTCCATCCATCCATCCATCCATCCATCTATCCATCCATCCTTCCTTCCTTCCATCCATCCATTCTTCCTTCCTTCCATCCATCCATTCTTTCTTCCTTCCTTCCATCCATCCAATCCATCCACCCTCCCTTCTTCCATCCATCCATCCATCCTTCCTTCCTTCCTTTTTTCCTTCCATCCATCCATCCATCCTTCCTTCCTTCCTTCCTTCCGTCCTTCCTTCATTCCTTCCATCCATCCATTCTTCCTTCCTTCCATCCATCCATTCTTCCTTCCTTCCGTCCATCCATCCTTCCTTTCTTTCTTCTTTTTGTCCTTCCTTCCATCCATCTATCCTTCCTTCCTTCCTTCCTTCCTTCTATCCTTCCTTCCTTCCTTCCTTCTATCCTTCCTTCCTTCTATCCTTCCTTCATTCCTTCCTTCCTTCCTTGTATCCTTCCTTCATTCCTTCCTTCCTTCCTTGTATCCATCCTACCTTTCTTGCATCCATCCATCCATCCATCCATCCATCCTTCCTTCCTTCCATCCATCCATCCTTCCATCCATCCATCCATCCATCCAACCTTCCTTCCTTCCTTCCATCCATTCTTTCTTTCTTCTTTCTATCCTTCCTTCCTTCTATCCTTCCTTCCTTCCTTCCTTCCTTCCTTGTATCCTTCCTACCTTTCTTGCATCCATCCATCCATCCATCCATCCATCCTTCCTACTTTCCTTCCTTCCTTCCTTCCTTGTGCCTTTATGTTTGTTAGTGTCAACAACATTTTGGGAAATCATTCTCCATTCAAGATCATCCATAGTTGTTGAAATCCTCTATTGTGTTTTTGCTTTACAGACATAGCGATTGATCTGTTTTTATGGCTTATTGACCTTTTGCAGGTTGTTTAAAGCCAGAAAATATACTTAGATTTTAAGAATTTTTTTTTAGAGATAATAATGATTTAGCAATACAAGGTTATCCAAGATACTAATGATTTAGTGATACAAGTAGTGATTTAGTTTTTCTAATTAACCAATAGCTAAGAGGAGAAGAGGTTAATTCATACCTTTCCCAAGGGCATGCAAGAGAATATAATGAACTTGACTGAAACTGGAACTCAGCCTTCTGATTAACAATTATGAGACATTATCCATTACGTCACCTGCACTCTTAAGCTTAAAACATCTGTTATTCCCAAGCCATCACCCATCTAGGTACTGATCAGGTTTGACTTTGCTTAATTTCAGTGATTGTATTAGAACTGGTGTTTCAATGTGATATGGCCATAAAGGCATAGTATCTGCACATTATGTATTCGTGTGGCTGGATTTTAATTCAGACTTGTCATTCTACTAGATTGTGAACTACAGCCAGAGAGTCCAGCTGTCCTACTATTTAACCCATAGCTAGGGGAGGGAAGAGATGAACTCATACCCTTCCTAAGGTTATTTGTGTGAAAGTAGAGGTAATGAATTTGACTTAGTTTGTATATTCATTTTATAAGTTTATAAGTGTGAAAAATGAGGAAGTGGCTTAAGTCTATTAAAATATGTGCATTGTATTCCCAAATGAAGATGAACCAGTACTTGAGCCCAGCCTAACTCAATAATGTGCTTGAGCCTAGCCTAACTCAATAATGTACTTGAGTCTAGATTACCTCAATAATGTACTTGAGCCTAGCCTCAATAATGTACTTGAGTCTAGATTACCTCAATAATGTACTTGAACCTAGCCAAACTCAATAATTTACTTGAATTTGAATCAATAATACTGTAATATTAAACTTAAAAGATGACACTTATACTCTATCAAACATGGCAATCATATCAGGTTTGTGTAGAGGCAAATGAATCCATTAATAATTTCTGTAATTCACTATAGAATTGTAATGATGGAAAATTCTCACATTTTTGCATTAATCATCCAATGGGTTCTTATCAACATCACCAAATAAAGGTAAATTATGAAAGATTCCACATTCAACAAAAAAATTAAAATTTTTAATTACTTTGAATAAATTTTGGTGAATTATCATTAACGTTATCGACTTGAATGTTCACCGAAGCCTCTGTAAAGTTTTGGCCTTTCACAGAATGATCCATCATTCTTGTATTCTCAGCTCTGACCTAACAAAAAGAAAAAGAAGATGTGAAAAAATAAAAACAAGAAAAGGAAAGAAATAAAGAGGAAAATAAGAAAGAAAAGAAAAGTGAAAAAGAAAAAGGAAAAATAGAAAAAACAAAACATTAAGAAAAGAAAAAGGAAAAACGAGAAGGAAAAAGAAAAATGAAATTAAAATTTAAAAGAAAAACCAAAGAAAATTCAAAACCAAAAAAGGAATAGAAAAAAAATAAACAAGAAAATATACAGGGAAGAAAGAAGAAAAAAGCAAGAAAAAAAGGGGAAAAAGAAAGTAAGAAGACATATTGAATCAATCTGCAAAATTTAATCTCCAGAACCTAAATGAGTTTTATATATTTTAACCAAATCTGTTTTAATATAGTTTTGATAAGGGCTTAATAATTATTTTGAAATATTTTCTCAACAATTATAATTATGAGTTATGAGTTGCTGCAACTGGTGTAACATCCGAGTAAAAGGAATTGGCAGACTGGGTTCAGATTCTTGCCATAGTTAGTGTTCATTTTAGAAATATACCCTGAGGAAAGGCAAGTATAATTGGAAATTGCATTGTTTTTCATAGCACAAAATTTTTATTTCCTAGTTAACTAGACTATGCTGTTGTTGATTTGAATTATGATTTGATAACTTGAGTTGTTAACTTGGAATCTTTGCTGTGTATACTTTCCTTAACAAAGTTTTTTAAATGTTCCCCCAATCCAAGGCCCAAGAACCCCTCAAGGTAGACAATTACTGTGCTGTGTTTTATTGGCATAATAAAAGGCAAGAAGTGAAGTACATAAAGTTACAAAGGAAAAATATCCTGTCAGGAGTCTGTTCCACAAAGCAGCAGTTCATAGGAAAAAGTTGTCCAAGTGGAACTTCCTCCTTATTCATGGAATACAAAGGAAATGAGGAGTACATGGCATGGCCATTGTGTACATGGCATGGTGAATGAGGGCTGGTGGAACCAAGGAATGTAACACACCAGAACACTTTCCATAGAAATAGCAATAGTGTAGCGAGAGGCTTGTGACGTCACATCTGTGGAAAGGGATTATAGGGTAGAAATTAATTTGTCACCCACAAGGTAGTGTAGATGCTTTTGAACTCAAGATATGCAAATGAGAACTGGGAAGCTCCAACCTAGAAAAGAGAGTGCATAGCAGGAGGAGTAAGGTACTTACTGGAGTGGTACAATGAACCAACAATCAGTGGTGATTCTGGAATCACAACTTAAGAATGAGTTTTAGTATAAGTATGTTACTTTACTAAATTAAACGGAATAACTTTTCATACATAGTAGTGCAGTTCTACTCTTTTCTTGCCCTCTTTTCCATTCTCAAGCTGTTGGACCACAAGAGAGGTTAACTTTAAAATCAAAGGGTTAATACTAATGTCAATACTAGAAGAACAGTATAATTTGTCTGCTCTGATTTTTTTCCTCTACAAAACTTAAAAAAGTGTAAGGGCCAACTGAGGGTTCAGCCAAAATTGGGTGGGGTTCGTGGGCATTGGCCCCTTCTGGCCTCCCTGTAGAGATGCCACTACCAACAATATTGCCAGCATATTTATATATATATATATATATATATATATATATATATATTATTTATTTATTATAATTTTATCATATAGACAAAACGATTTTACTCACTACAAAGTTGCATCTTTGTAGTGAGTAAAATGGTTTTGTCTATATAATAAAATTATAATAAATAAATAATTATCACTCTACTATCGGTATCAAGCCCTCTTTTGGATTAATGCTGTGAACATTTGTTGGAATATATATATTACTTTTCATGTTGCTACATGCCTTACTTCTTGCCTATCTCACACTGCAAATTTTTTCTAAGCTCTATACTAAACATTAAATCTATTACGAAAAAAGAACTAAACAAAATGAACACAAAACGATCAGCTTTAAAAAAGGACTCGTAACTGGAAAAACTGAATGAAAAAAGAATGTTAACAACAAATACTTTTTCACACCCAACCCAGTTCTGCAGAATCAGAATCAACGTTCAGTTTAAGCAAGCGAATGAATCAATTGGAGTAAAGTGCCGTGCAGAAATAAATTTTTCCCACTTCATGCAGCTATCGATTTTTTTTGCATGCTAGCATGCTAGTTAACATTCATGTCAGTCAGCTGTTGGCTCTCATGCTGGCCTATAGAATCTTCCTGCCTATTCGTGGCAGCCAGCTATTGGCTTTCACTCTGGGCAGTACAAAATGGCTGCAAACTACATGAAAACTGCTGTAGAAGCATGAAAAATTGATTATTTCCACTATCAATGGGAGTTGGGAAATACAAAGTTGGTCTTGGCCTTCCCACTAACTTGGAGTATATGCATGTAAATTTTGGTGCAAATTTGTTGAAAATTGCGGCCGTGCATTTGTTACACACACGCATCCTGCCTTAAATATATATATATATATATATATATATATATAACCTTAATCATTTATTCGAAAATTATAACATAAAAATGTTATGAAATCACTACAAAAATAGCCATTTTGTTTCAACACTTCTGGTGTCTTATCAAATGATGGTGTTAATACATCAATCCTATACTCAGGTATATATATATATATATATATATATATATATATATATATATATATATATATATATATATATATATATATATTTATTGAGGTCTGAGGTGAGTAACAGAGTTAGGCACTTACCTGAAATATGTGTTCTTATGACAAATGTAGCAATAAGAGAGAGTTGGAGAAGGATTTTCAACTGGTCTACAGCATTTAGTTAAATTTCTTTAGCAATAAAAATACTTACTTTGAAAGAGAAAGTTTTAATTTGAGTTCCATCTGCATCTAGATTTCTCCAAAGGGAAATAACTCCAGTGTTGGCATTGATAAAAAATGGATTTTGGGGGTTCCAGTCAACAATGGAGAATTCAGTTCTCTTATTCTCTTCTGCAACATCATCATCCAAGACATTCACTCTGGGAAAGAAGAAAAATGAAGCTTTTTTAACAGAATAACTTGCTAGAAGAATGTGGTTTTATAAATGTTTTCTGATATTTTATCTCTTGAAAATCTTTGGGTTTTCTTTTTTTTTCATTTTATCATTTAACCAAATTTTTACAGTTTTGTTTCATCTTGTTTTTTTTACTCTTTCAACTTTCTGTGTTGTGTTTCACATTGTCTTTCATGTAGTCTTCATCTATCTTTTATTTTTAAACTCTCTCTCTCTCTCCCTCCCTGCTTCTTTCATTTCTCTTTTCTTTTGATTTTATCTTAATATTCCTCTTTCTTTCTTTCTTTCTTTCTTTCTTTCTTTGTTGTTTTTCTTTGTCCCTCTCTGTTTTCTTTCTTTCTTTGTTCATCTAACCTTAAGACTTCATCTAACCTTTACTTTTAAACTCTCTCTCTCTCTCCCTCCCTGCTCTTTTCACATTTTTTTATTTTATTTTAATATTTCTCTTCCTTTCTTTTGTCTCTTTTTCTTTCTTTCCTTTCTTTCTTTTCTTTCTTTTTTTCTTTCTTTCTTCATCTAACTTTAAGTCTTCATTTAACCTTTACTTTTAAACTTTCTCTCTCTACCCCTGCTTCTTTCATTTCTTTTTTCTTTTGATTTTATCTTAATTTTTCTGTTTCATTCTTTCTTTCTTTCTTTCTTTCTTCATCTAAACTTAAATCTTCATCTAACCTTTATTTTTAAACTCTCTCTCTCCCTCCCTGCCCTTTTCACTTTTTATTTTATCTTAATATATCTCTTTCATTCTTTCTTTTCTTTTTTTCTTTCTTTCCTTTCTTTCTTTCTTTCCTTTCTATTCTTTTTTCTTTTCTTCATTTCTTCATATAACCTTTACTTTTAAACTTTTTCTCTCTCTCTCTACCTGATCCTTTCTCTACTTTTTCTTTTAATTTTATCTTAATATTTCTTTCTTTCTTTCTTTCTTTCTTTCTTTCTTTCTTTCTTTTGATTTCCTGCTTCTTTTTCTCTTCCTGTTCCTTTGCAACAATTTTTTTAGACTTCTTTTTTTCATTATTTTCTCCTTCAGTTTGTTTTTTTCTTCAATCTTGCCCTCTCCTCCATTTTTCTCTTTATTTCTCAATTCTATTTTATTTACTTTACATTCTTTTTTCTTTTTTTTTCCTATTTTTTTTTATGTTTGTCATTCCTCTCTTTCATTCTTTTACTCATTCTCTTGTTTTGCTGTCCTCCCCCCACTCTTTATTCCTTATACAATCTTGAACATAAAGAAAGAAAGAAAAGGAGACTTACTTTAAAATCGTCGACCCAACAGTTGAATTCTCAAAAATATGTGTTTTATACTGAGACTTTTGAAAACGAGGCACATTATTGTTGATGTCCTAAAAAACAAAATTTAATGTTTATATTTAACAAATAAAAGTGTATGATTTCAATTCCTCAAAAGTATACTCTGGATATATCAAAAAAGAGAGAGAAAGAACAAGATATTTTCCTGAATGAAACAAAGAATTCCATCAGAAATTCTCTGAAGTTTACCTGACATCAGTTAAAAGAGTGAACAGAGTTAAAGATAGACTTAGAAACCAAAATAGTTCAGCATAAAAACTTTAATTTTATTTTAAATGTGATATTTGTTCTGTTTTTTCTTTTTAAAAAAATGACAATATTTTTAATCAATATTTTATTCTAAAAAAAATTTTATTCTTTAAGAATTTTATGAAATTTCATTCTTCTTTAAAAACAACATTTTTATATGGAAATAGCAAGACATTTTCACCTACTGATTGTTGCATTTTGTAACTGTATGAGTTAATGTTGGGCCAAAATGGAAGTTAGTATAAATTTCACTTTTGTAGAACCAATAGTAAGAATCTTAAAAAGAGAGATTTTGAGAAAAACAGAGGAAAAGATGGTCGTTTTTGTCAGTCAGTTATGAAGATGTCAAGGTGATGGTAGGAAATGTCACAACAGTGTCACCCAACTCACAACAAACGTTAATATATCAATTAGAAATTATTTGAAATATTTTCAGAGCAATTAGTAACAAAAGAATATGTTCGATAAATCCATTACATTTGAAATGAATGAGAAACAAGAAGTTAGACATGATGTGGTTAACATTAATGAAATGTGAAAATGATCCATTTTTGCATCATATAAGATGATGAAAATGTTTTTTATAATAAATTGAAAATGTTTGGATGTGGAAGTTGAAGCTGTATCACCAACCCTTGGAAGATAAAAATGAATGTTTGATGAAACATGGTAAAGCATAACTTCTTTTAAACAGGCTAAACAATCAAAATATATGATGGAATGATTTATTTGAAACTCAAAAAGAAATCAAGTCAGTTTTACTGCATTTTGTCAGGCAACCAAAATGACATTCCTCTTTCCTGTTGAAGAATTCAAATTTTATGCAACTCATCAATTCACATGATCTCTTACACATTTTTTTGAGTATCTCAACTATACTCTTTCAGGATTAAAGTTATGTATCCTACTTTTTCACCCCCCGACCTCTTACAAATGCTTTTGTTTTTCAAGTATCTAGACCACATCATTGCAGGAAAAAAATTGAAGAAATTTTTAATGAATTAACTAATTCATTAAAGGAAGAACCTTTTAGGAATAAATGACTCGCTTCCAACTTGAAAAAAGTACAGAGCCGCAAGTGGAATATTTTCATAGAGTAAATTATTTTTCAATGCTTTAAAAATTATTTTAAATAAAGCTGAATCACCTAACTTCAAAATATGAGTATTTTAAGTGCATTCTCAAAAGTATTGTGATGAATGCAACCATAGTTGTCTCCCCCTCAAATAACTTCTTTTTCTTCTTCTTTAATGTGCTGTGTTCCTTCAGGAGGTCGGTGATCAAGGCTCTCTATAACTTTCTATCTTGTATAGCTCTTAGCAGTTTTTCTCCTTTGCTAAGGTTTCTGCCCCCAGTTCTACTATCCATTCACACAAGCTCATCAGGTAAATGGCATGCTTCCTTCCCCTATTTCTCCAACCATCAATATGCCCTGTGAGGGTTAACTTTTCCAATCCTTCCTTCCTCATTATGTGTCCAAGGAATTTCATCTCTTTCTTCGGTATTCTGAGTATAAGTGTTCTTTCTGTTGCCATTTTTCTTTAAAATTTCCTTGTTGCTTATTTACTCTATCCATAGAATTTTTATTATCCTTCTGTAGAACTTCTTGAACTACTTGATTATAAAAGAAATGGTTGCACCTTATATATGAGCAGTGGTCAAATTGCATTGAAAAAACTTCATTATAAGTTAAACATTTGCATGTTTTTCATTACAGCAATATTGTTAAAAGTCAGTTTTCATGTACTTCTTCTGCAATTAATTGATCTTTTACTTAAAGATGGTAATTTAGATGCTTTTATGCCTTAATAGTCTGTATTTTTTCTCTTTGTATTCCAATTACTTTTGCTCCTTCAAATATTTTATTGCTCATTAGCCCTTTAAATGTTATCAAATATCTTTTTGTAACTGTGGTGAAAGCAACCATAGTTGTCTCCCCTTTGGACTACTCTGCTACAAATGCAACGGTCACAACTCACATATGGGCAGTGGTCAAACTGCATTCAATAAAACTTCATTACAAGCATTGCTCTGTTTTTCTTCACAGTTATATTAATTTTTTCTTATTATCTATTTCAATTTAGCAACACAGAAATCACTTATTACTGAGAGAGATAAAGTAGGTGTACATTATAAATAAATTTTGCTGTAATTGCTGGAATGCAAAAAATATGAAAACCAGTAATCCATCATATAAAATGTGAAGCAATCCATAGTTACTCAGTATTTTTGGCACCTCTTCTTTTTATGGAAGACAATGTTCTACATTACAAAGAACCATTTTTCATTTTCAGTCTTCTGTGTTACGAGAAACAAGAAAAGACTGGTTTTGAATATTTTACATGACAACATAGTGTTTAAGTTCATGCTTCTGTTGTGAAGTCCTAAGTCCTTTGTGTTCCTATTCAGTGCTCATGCATAGTAGATTTCCTCCACCTAACTGGAGTCATTATCTAGCCTAGGTATTCTGGCAATGTTAATTGGTTATTCTCGATATCACCAAGTCTCCTTGTAACAAAGGAGGTTTGTGCTCTTTGTTTTTCTTGTGATTCTTCTATCATTTCATTTTCAGGGTTTCTTTCTCTCTCCTGGAATCTTAAGGTATTTCTTTCTCTGGGAGATCTTGATCTATCTTGATTTCTCTCATTATTATGGCTGTATTCATCCATTGACTGTTCTTCCTCACTTTCCCAATCATATTGTCACTCTTGATCATCACTATGTTCATCTTCAGACATTTCATCCTTCAAGGTTAGGTTTCATTTTTGTTCAGCACTATCATTATTTTTGGTATCTGTGGATATTTCTTTGTCAGACATTTTATTCTTCAAGGGTAGGTTTCATTTTTGTTCAGCACTATCATTACTTGAGGTATCTGTGAACATTTCTTCATCACTTTCCTCCTTGTATTCATTTTGAGGTCTTATTTAACTGCATAGTCTAGTATGCTACTCCCATTTTTTCTTATTACATCTGTGTTGTGTCATTTTTGCATTAAAAATTTGTCTTCTCTGTGAGTGTCTCTTTATTTTTCTTGTACCAAATTTTTTCATTCATAGAATGTGACATGGTTAAGGAGCTCTGATTTGTCTTCCCATTAAGGCCAATGGACTCTCTAGCCTTTCTGTGTGCAATAACTTAAACATAGTCTAGGTAAAAAAAACTTCTACTTTCTCTTTTTGTTGTAAAAATGCCTTTAATCCTATCTTTATGGTTTGTACCAACCTATCTGCTATCCCATTCAATTGAGGATGATATGGAGATGTCTTGTAAGGCATATATACTGTTTTCTTTAGCCACAAATTAAGTTCTTTATTACAAAACTCTAGGGCTTTATTGGATAATAAGTTTTTTGGTATCACTTTTCTGGAGAATATAACACTTAAAATTTGATTTACAGTAGAATTTCTTGTGTCAGGCACACAAATTAGCTCAGGCCAGCTTGAAAAAAGTCCACTCATATTAATAATAATCCTACTCCACTGATGCTGCATGTGTAATCTATGTGAATGTGAATTCATGGTTCTGACTCTTTTTCATTTTCAGCAGCCTCTACCTTCAAGGCAAGCTCTTATTTTCTACTTTTCCTTTTCAGAGGACTCTACCTTCAAGGCAAGCTCTTATTTTCTACTTTTCCTTTTCAGAGGCCTCTACCTTCAAGGCAAGCTCTTATTTTCTACTTTTCCTTTTCAGAGGCCTCTACCTTCAAGGCAAGTTCTTATTTTCTACTTTTCCTTTTCAGAGGCCTCTACCTTCAAGGCAAGCTCTTATTTTCTACTTTTCCTTTTCAGAGGCTACTACCTTCAAGGTACAGCTCAAAGTGTTACTTTCAATTCTTGCTGCAGCAGAAACGTAGTCATGTCCTGGCATCTTGACTTCAGATTTCTCATTCCTTGTGGGAACATGTGGAGAAATCTCCCTTCGATATATCTACCCAAATGAAAAACTACACACAACCTTTGCCGGAGAAGACTCATACCAGTCCTAGCAGTTTCACACTCAGAAACATCTCTCTCTATAAAACATTGACTCAAAGGAAGAACTTTGTTAACTAGGGAACCCAACTCCTTTTCTTGTAACCTACCCCTATTTGGAACTCTCTTTCAACCACAAATAAAAGCTGTTAAACAGTTATTTTTGAGTCTTGGGTTTTGTTAATTCCACTGTCTCTGCCGAGCATACCCCCCCACATGCAACCGGAAAATTTCCTACAATATAGCAATTCATTACCATCAATAACAGACAATTTTTTTCCATCCTTCAAACATAGGTAATCATGTTTTTCCACAGATCTCTTAATTTTATTATCTGTAAATTTCCATGACTTTTTGGGGATATATAGCAGAGTGGTTTCCCATTGTCTTCTCTATGGTTTCAATTTCAGAATTCTTCTTCTCTTATATTGGATAGACACGAGTCGACTTTGATTTTTAATTCATAGCTACAGCTGGAGTGAAGAAATGAAATTGCTAGGAAGAGAAAGCAATGGTCTAGACAGGGATGAAAGCTCAGCTCACCAATTTCAATGTTAGCATCAATAACCACATATGCCTAGGTGACAGCAGCTCAAAGACGTTAAGTCTATAGGGTGTAGTTCTTTGACTAGACGTTATCTTACCTTAAAGGTTATGGTGATGTTTATTGAATTCCACTCTTTTGGATTAACTTGGTTAAATGCTTCCACAATCACAGTGACCGTCTGCCCCAAAACGTTTTTTGATTCCTTTTTTCTTAAATAAAGCTCATTTTTATTTTTCAGCTCAAAAGACGTAGAGCCTTGTATTTTATATGTAATATCCTTATATCTTGGATCAATATCTTTGTCTGTAGCCTGAAAAATATAATTTGGTAAGAGAAATGAAACAATAACATAAATATGAGGAACATTTTTCATGTCAGAAAATTTCTTTCAGTTAAAACAAATATATATTTTTTTTATAATTTCAAAAATTATTTTCCTGTGGTCCACTATAGGAAGTATTTTAAAATAAAGTCTGTCTGCACAAACATACACACATATTGTATTTGATGGCATGAAAGACACCACTTTTCCAAAAATGGATAAAATCAGTAATCCATGGTTACCAAAATCTATGTGAAAAAATACTGCAAAAACATCAGCTTCCTTCTAATATCTAATATTATAACCATCATTCTAATATCTAGAGTGAAGACATTTTTAATTGATCAGATGGGAAGGTTTTAATAAACTTTTTAATAAGTTTATAAGCCTGATTATGATGACACTATATTTGGTTCAGGGTAAAAAATAAAAGGACTGTACTGGAAAAAAGTTTGAGAAGAGGAATCCACCTGATGATTATTTTCAACCAGTCTGAAGGACAAAATTTGAAACCTGTAAATATCTTGAAAAGTAACTTAGTGAACTGGCCAGTACAAATATAATGGAGACTGTTGGCCAATTTCATGTCTATTTATCAGTTATACTTGACAAGACTCATCATGATAGATGAAGCAATTAAGCTTTTAGCATTGAGTTGAAAAAAGTGTTACTATAAAGGACGATAACTCAGAATACAATGGAGTTACTTCCCTTGTTTGTGATTGGGAACACTGCACTTCTGAACACAACATGGTGATAAGCTGACATGCATATGGAAATTATGGTTTAAATCCAAATAATCCTTGCTGTTCTCAGGCAATAAATGAATAAAAGTTATTTTATTATGTGTAAAAATACACTTGTCTTTTATTTTCATTTGTTTTTTGTTCATCCCAACAACCTAAGACATAACAAAAGGATGCTAGATGCCAACTAAAAGCAGACAAATCTGAACATGCGTGTTTGAAATGATGGGGCCAAAACCACCAAGTTTTCCTCAATTATATGAAGACAATTCACTCTGATCAACTATAATTATACAAACTTGTACCATCTTTTGAAAGTTTAACACAAACAACATTCATTTAACAACTCCTTCTATTCAACAAATAGACATTTCTGTGTTGATCTACCAACAGCTAAACAAAATCTGATAAAACTTTGTGGACTTCACATTCTCTAGCAAAGACTTATATAACTTTGGATACAACTATATTTCACTTTCTTATGAAGATTTTTCTCTCCTAACTTAATTTTTTAGCTTATAGGATACAAATCCTATATTCCAACAAATGACTAAAAAAACACAAAGTAGATTTGCACACCCGCAAAATCGGATCAGAACGACCAAAAACAGATTTCACAATAAGGTGTGAAATTAATTTTCTGACCAATGAAAGGAGGCGATTTGCTAAACCAAAAAAAAGATAACGAGCCAGTGTGAAAAAAAAGTCAACAATAAATACAGAGTTTTCAAGTCAGTCAGTCAGAGAAGGGCGCAAAAGATCACAGAAGATTGACAGTAAATTCCATCACTGACTCAACCCGAAAGTGGATTAGGAAAGGAACAACAACAACAACAACAAATCTACAACTGACTTCAAAACAATTCATAAGTACATTTTCCTTTTATCTTCATTCCTCATTCACACTCTCTTTTTCAACTTAAATTGCTCACCCCTTTTTCATTTTACAACTATACAAAAACAAAAGAAACAGACATTATTCTGCTACTCTGTTAAAAGACAGCGAACACAGACATTTTTATCAAAATCACATTTTTGCTTAAACGAACTAAAACAGTAATCTTTTTTTACCCTATTCACAAGATAATAAATATACAATGTTCTATTTTTTATAAACGTTCCTTATTGTGTTGTTTCTTCTTGAAATTTGCGTTGTATTTTGTGGGCAGGGTATCCCGTATTAAATTCTCCTTTAATCCGGGTACGCTGAACCCCACAAGCTTCTTAAAATAATATATACAGCATTCCACTACACCTATCTTTTTTTTTGCATAAATTATTTTAAATAAACTATTTTTCTGTTTCAATTTCATACTGATTAAGAGTCCTCTTTGTATTGTACACCTAAAGAGATAGTAACTATTTTTTTGTATAAATAGCTTATATCTCATCTTCACATCTGGGGATGTTCCTCCATATGCAAAGATGAGATATATTACAACTTGCATTATTTACATTATTCGGACTTGTCCTCATCTTCATTGCCATATTCACAATGTTTTTGCCATTGTACGCTCCTGCCTTTATGTCTATGTCTCTCTATATATCTGTCTATATCTCTGAGATGAGGTATTATGATTACTTGCATTAGTTATCCTCATATTCATTACCATATTCACAGCATTTCGGCTGTTGTATGCTTCGGCCTTTATGTCTATGTCTCTCTATATATCTGTCTTAAGAGGTACTGCTTCTAACTCATGGTGCCAAAAGGCTTAATCATTTTCTACCTTGTTCTGAACCTACATCAACTTACACACATAATTATTAAACTGAATATTTACATTATTCGGACTGTTATCCTCATCTTCATTGCCATATTCACAACGTTTGTACATTCTGGCCTACTTCAGGCGATTGGAGTTTTGAACCATCCACTTGGGTAGATTGTTCTAGTTCCATGTGCCATGCCTCTTCCGGATGTCTCAGTTATTTCCCTTTAACACAGCTCTCCAAGTTTTAGTTCGCCACTGCTGTGGCCTGGTATTGAACTTACAACTCTTTCAGTCTAGTCACTGGATCTAACCAATGTGTTTATATAGTGGGCCATGTGTCCTTGAGGAAGAGGCATGGCACGTGGATCTAAAATAATCTACCCCAATGGATGAAATAAAGAGTTTGGCTCAAAATTCCAATCACCTGAAGAAGGCTGGAGCATACAATGGCTGAAACATTGTGAATATGGCAATGAAGATTAGGATAACAGTCTGAATAATGTAAATAATGCAAGTAATCATAATACCTCATCTCAGAGATATAGCTACATTATAAGTTAAGTTGTCTACTTGTGTTTGTATCTGACCTAACTTCATAAGGTTCTAATACTGAATGTAAGATGGATGTGGTTTTTAGACGCGATTAAAGATAGTAAAATTGATATTTTTTAATCAGCTTCTTAATGAAAGAAGCATTTTGTGACATTTTCTAAAAACAATTATTATTCTAGATATTTCTTAAAAATATGAAAAAAAATTTCTTTCTTTTTGTTACTTTTTATACCAACATTTTATCTGATATTCAGTATTTAAGGCAATTCAGAATAAATGAGAAGGTCGGGACTAGACTTGAAATCCACTCTATGAGAATTTATATTAGTTAAGACTGTAAGAGAAAACTGTAGGAAAAAGATGGGAAAAGGTAAAAAAAATAAATATGAAAATAATGAAAATACTATGAAGATCTGGCTGGAGTGTGCAGCAGCCAAAGTGTCATGAATATGGCAAAAAAATGAGGACAACAGTTCAATAATTACAATATCTCATCTCAGAAATATCGACATAATCACACAAAGGTTGGTAATGTACGATAATACATAGGACAAGAACAATACATATAAGATTCATCAGCAGTGCATAGAAGATAGATTGTGAACAATTACTAGTAGGTGGTGAACAAATCAGTGAATTCCACAATAAATCTCCAACTGCAGATCAACATATGGTATTTACTACTGTATTTATGTGAAAGGGAACATAACCCATTATCGTCCATAGGTTTGCTACAACACTTTTAATAGTTTATACAGCTGGGATTGTGTACAATGTGTATCTTGGGTATTTTTGCACAAAATTGAGGTTTTAGTAACACTACTTAAATATATTGAATTTTTTCTACAATTTTTAACAGGATTCCATATATATATTTATACATATATATGTGCAAGTTGCAATAAGTTTTAACAAATGACAAATCAATCTGCAAGACAGTGTGGTGCATGTGTAGTCAATGTAAGAATTTAATGTTGTTTATTGATTATTAGCAGTCATATATCATGCAACTGGGAACTGTTCTGTTATCTCATAAGACAGTCAGACTGAAGAAAATAAAGCCTGATATCTTCACTTTTCTAATTAGTAGTGCCCATATTTTATGAATTTCTATGTTAGACATGCACACTAAGTCTTTTTAGTACTGCATAAATAGTGAGTCATTTGAGCATAGCCTGCACATTGAGTCTTCCATTTTTTCTTCACCTATGATTTTTAATTTCATAGCCTCTTTATGGATTGCATATTTTCAGTGCACTTCAAGCATTATTTTAGTTGATGTCTGGTTTTAAGTTTGTATTCTTTGCTACTAGTACATGAGATAATGGACATGGGAATCTAGATGTTAGAATTTCTGATAAGAGTCTAACTTCCTCCAAGGATTGTTGAATGCAAACAACACAGGAAAAAGGTTCATGGTTTCAAGTGTTGAAATAAAAACAACAAAGGATGAGGATATTAGTCTGAAAAAATCATTTAATAAACTGTTTAAGTAGTTCTTAATATTTACCTGTGGTTGATAAATAAGATCGTAAATTTTGTCCTCCAGAACAATCAACTCAATAGACTGAATATTGAATTCGGGAATATGGTTATTTATGTCTGCAATCATGACTTCCACTAAACAGCTAGTGTTAAAGGACTTTGGAGATCCATCGTCACTAGCAAAAACAACAAATGTAAAACTGGTCGGTTCCGAAATTTTAAATGTTCGTGCTGTTCTGATGACACCACTGGAAGCATCGATATTAAAATCCCTGAAAAAAAAAAAATTTATCACTACAACTCAACCAAACAAAAAATTGTCAGAAAATATTTTGTCAAGAAAAAAAAAACATACAAAATGGCTCTTGACAAAGATGTCCACGAATTCTTGATCACTTCAGTGTTCACTGAAAGTTAGGGGAAAACACACTGCAAGTTGACAAGTTAACATGATGAAAGAAAAGCCGCAAATAGAAATAAGAACACAAAACTATTTTCGATATTAGATGTAGTTGTTTTATTCAGGGCTTTGCCTGCTCGTCTGGGTGATGGGAACGTTATACTTGGGACAACTTCTGCTAAGTTAGCTCTTTCTCCTAAAAACTGTTCGCTTATGTACTCATCTTGAGGTGGTGGGATGGTTATACTTGGGACAACTTCTGCTAAGTCAGCTCTTTCTCCTAAAAACTATTCGCTTATGTACTCATCTTGAGGTGGTGGGAAGGTTATACTTGGGACAACTTCTGCTAAGTCTTCTTCTTAAAAACTCCTCGCACATCTAATCATCCTCAGGTGGTGGCTGGTAAATACAAATATGTTGGCTTTGGAACTGCAACATGGACACATCTGTTTCCCACCAATGACAGACAAGCATGTCTCTTCATATCAAATTTGTTGATATAACCCATTTCCGGTTTTGTTGCCACTTGATATTCAACAGTCAAAGTGGATATTGCTAAGGAGACTGAACTTCAAAATGTAACCAATCTGTTGGTCCATCAAACAGAAATACTTGAGACTGAGATAAAACTGACTCTTACTTTTTCTCTATAGTATCACATCTCCCTACCGACAACTCTGAATGATTTTCGAAGATAAATACTGTATTAGTGTCTTTTTGAATATTTCTTCATAAGTAAGTTTTCTTAATCATATATAAACATAATTAAGTAAGCATCGTAGATATTCTCCTTCTTCTATGTGCAAAAGTTTCCTGTTTCTTTGCCTTGCTTTTGGAAGACACTTTCCGTCTCAAAATGTGTCTTTCTATTCCAATGTCATTTTTCATTCTCTGTTAGAACACTTCTCAGATATTTAAATTTTCATTCTTTCTTGATTTCAAATTCTCTGCTTTGTACTTTGCATCTTGGAATGTTTCTCTTGCTTCCACCCATACATTCAGTTTTCTTCCAAATGATAGTTCTTTCTTCTCACCATCTTTTACTACCTTCTATAGGAGATCAAAAAATTAGAGAGCTGTTCTTTTGCTGTTAATATAATGAGTACATTCCTTTCACAGTAAAGAATTAGAAGGAAAATATTTATCATGTACTTTGAGAGTTCCCAATATTATAAGATTTTGGGAAATCCAAATCAACCGTATTGAAATATTACATCAGTCCCACCTGAGGAGGGGAAAGAAAGCCAGGTGATCTGTAAAGTTGGTATCACTCATCAAAGCTAACAGAGCTAAGCAACTAAGGTAGAAGTGAAAGAGAGAGACAGGGGAGAGAGTGTGTGGTGAGAAGAGAACAAAAGGATGTGTGTCACAATCAACTAAGAGGCTAGCATTGTGAGTTCTATTATTTTAAAAAAGGTACAGTTTTCTTCTAGGGTGCTCAGTAAAAAAGTGGTAAATTCAAAAAGACATGAGACAACTGTTGAAAACTGGTGATGACTAATATGAGTGAAAAATTCAGGAAGAATTTCCACACATTTTGTCAATCCTCACATCAGAAAAGTATGATGACTTGATGCTCAAAATCAGTGAGTTGTCTAGCCATATGAGAAGGGTATAATGAAAGACAAAGGTTGTCTGCAAATAACCTTTAAGTGACGAGTCACAAGAACAGGCAGCAATTAATCAATCATAAAAGAACCAATCAGAGTTAAATAATTACATGAGAGTTGGATTCAAGGTCATAAATATTGAAGAAATTTATTCAAGATTATTCAAGGTCAATTATTCCTGAAAGATAAAACAGTGTTAATAAATTTAACTTTTTTTATACTGGGCATCCAGTGTATGCCTTCTCCCTTCAGGACATCTGCGATCATGGTTCTCCACATCTTTCTATCTCTTGTTGCTATCCTTTGTTGTGCTTAGCAATATTTTTTAGTGTCACATCTACTCCCTGTTTTGACACCATCAGGTAAGTTACTCTGTTTACCTCTGTCTCTCTTGCCTTCAATCTGTCCTGTTTGTTATACAAAATATTATTATTGTTTTCAAAACTATATCACCACTGTGGAATTTCTGGGTTCAGAAAATGTGATTCAAAGCTTCTATTGAAGGAATTTTGCTGATGTCATGATTTTCTCTGCCAAGCAACAAGCAGTCATCTTGACTCTTCACCATTTTCAGCAGCATACCTACGTAACTCACCTTGGTGGTTAATGACATCATAACTATCTCTGTGAGTCAACACCCAACCCTTCTGGAAATACCCAAGTTAAGGATGAAATGACCACCCACCAATCATACACTTTAAAGATGTCATCATGGCAACCCTGGAAGGCCTATTTAAGGAGTTCAAAAAACTCATGAGATAGAGTTAAATATTACAGCCTTTGTGACATTGTTGCTTTTGGCCTAAATTCCAGATTCAAATTCATCTTAATACAAGTGATTCCAGAGACAACAAATTCATAGCTACACCCAACTATTAAACCTCAAGACCCAAGAAACCTTTCATCCAAATACAACAGTGTAACAGGAAGACCCATTTTGAAGTGAAGTGTTTTTTCTCTTATTCTCCCACTTTCTATCTTTGGAAATTTTACAGTATTTACCCTTTTTATGCAAATTAAAAATATTGATAGATTTGTTTACATGTGTTCAGGAAGTTACAGGGTTTTTTATATCCATGTGGTAAATTTTGAAAGTGTTTTTCTGCCCCTCAAAGTTAGTTTGATTCATATCATGTTATTTGTAATGGAAAGATAAAGTTTTCATTTTTCCTTTTGCATGAATGTAGTCATCTTTTCCTTATTTCAGCAATCTTGTTATTGGCCTAAAATTTAATATTTTCAGTTCACTAACCTTGGGTATGTCCAGGATAACTCAATTCTCCACCCCTTTCATTGTCATGTGTGACACTAGCGTTGTTACTCCTCTCCCCCCCATTGAGTGTGAGAAAATACATTAGGAATTTACCAAGCTCACAAAAAAATGTAATCAATTTTAACCTATTCATTTGTTTGCTGTGAGATGAGAATTGCTGTTTTTCTTCCATTTATAATAAAATGAAAATGTTATAAATAAAACACACCAACCTGCTTCCCAGAATGCTATATTTTATTGATTCACTTGGATTCTTATCCTTATCAGTAGCCTGAAAAGAAACAAATATATATGACTCAATATGTTGTAAAGGTTTACAATTGATGAGAATGTTAGACAAACATAGGAAGTGAGTAATCATAAAACATTTTTTAATTAGAATTTTATTAATACTCTGAATTTTCCTCTGATTGAGAATCTTATTCTTATTCAGGATCTTATTCTTATTCTGAATTTTATTCTTACTTAGAATCTTATTTTTATTCTGAATGTTATTCTTAGTCAGAATCTTATTCTTACTCAGAAATTTATTCTTATTCAGGATTTTATTCTTATTCTGAATTTTATTCTTATTCATAATCTTATTCTTAATGAAAAATTTATTCTTACTCTGAATTTTATAATTACTCAGAATCTTATTCTTACTCAAAATTTTATTTTTATTTAGAATTTTATTCTTATTCAAAATCTTGTTTCCTGTTTACTATAATATGATTTACCAGTTCTTTTCTTCCATTGCCATAATGATTTAACTGTCTTAACTTTTTGGTGATCTGACTGAACAGTTGATGTGGCATTTCATTATGAGGACACAAGGTTGGCACTTTTCTGGTTCCTGCTTCCGACTGGTAGCAATGATTCTAAACTCTTTGGTAGCACTTCGAGAGGTGGCTCTTGTCAACAGTCACATAATATCATGGTATTTACAGTGCAATGTTGCACATAAATAGGTGTCCTTAGATGTATTTCCAGCGGGCAACCCCTGAGCTCACATTATATTTTAGTCTTAGTCACCTTCTAGCTAGTTTGTTGGAAATCCTTTTTTGTAGTTCCAGTCTTTAAGAACTCAGACAAACCATCTGATCCTTTTAACTATTGGCTTATTAGTCTTCTACGTCTTTTTGGAAAAGTACTAGTGGCTCTAATTAACTCCAAATTGCTTAAGCATCTCACATCGTAGGGTCTTCTTTCAGATAAGCAATATGCCTTTCGATTCTCTAAGTCTGCTGCTGATGTGTTAATGATTATTGCTGAAAGAGTTTATCAAGTTTAGATAAGAATGCTGAAGCTCAGTTTGTTGCTTTGCATAACTCAAAGACATTTGACAGGGTTTGGCATACTGGTCTTCTTCACAAGTTGAAACATCATAGTATTTCTGAACAAACTTTTCATCTGATTTAGTTTTTCTTATCAAATCACAAAATGAAGTTGCCTTGAACAACCACAATTCTTTTTGCATTAATGCAGATGTCCATCATGTCTCTATCCTTAAATCTGTGTTGTTCCTAATTTTTATCGATGACCTTCCTGATGTCATCAATTCTCAACTCGATATCTATGCTGATGTCACAGTTATTCACTCCTGTCTTAATTGTAAGTTGGATCAGTTTGATTGGCAGCTGTTATAAAAAATTACATACAATCTGTTGTTAACTGGTGCAATAAATGGCTTGTTAATTTTAATGTTTCCAGAATGAAACAGCTCTCTTTTAATCATCTGAGAGAACCCTTTCTGTTTTACATCAGCACGGTTGATGCTAATCTTCAAGAGAGGGATGCATTGTGCATTCTCAGACTAACGTTTTCTGCTGACATGAAGTGTAAAGATTATATTGAATCAATTGCTCAGTCTGCTGCTAGGATAGATAGTTCACTGAGTTATTCAAGACAATTTTTCTTGCTAGAATCTATCTTACATATTTATATCTTTCTTCCATGCATTGAATATTGCTGCCACATCTAGTCTCGTGCTCCTGCTATATATTTAGAGATTCTTTATAATCATTGTTATTGAATCTGACCTGGTATCTTGGCTTTAGTCACTTTCCCACCACTGTAACATAACTTCCCTGTGACTTTTCCTTTTTTTAATCTGTATCACCCCATGCAAGGTAGTAAAGCCACTAAGACACAAGGGGTTACAGGGTGTTAAAGAATTAGGAACAGAAACATTAATAATGAGCAGAAAGAGGAAAGAGTAATCAGGAGGACAGTAATGATATTGCATTTAAATTTTTGTAGATTAAATTTGGCTGGAAAGCATGAAGCTGGAAGGGAGTTCCACAAGTGAGAAGTGCAAGGAGAAAAGAAACGGTTAGCATAAAATTTATGGTTACATTTAGCCAGCTCAAGTGTAAATTGATGTGATCTCAATGCCAGTCTAGCACTATGCTTAAACTCAAAAAGTCCTAGTACAATAGTGAAGAGCTCATCTGAACAATTATCATCAAAGTCTTTATAGAAAAAGATCAGAGAAGTAACCTCACAGTGATGGGAAAGTGACTGAAGCCAAGCCACCAGATGAGGACCAATAATATTGTTGATTCTTCTTTGGATTTTATTAAGAAGCTCAAGTTAAATAGCAGGGGCACCAGCCCATATGTCGTAGCAATATTCTAAGCTTGGGTGAATGGTAGACTTATAAATATAGATTTATAGATTTTCTATAAATATTTTCTTAGTAATTGTTCTGATTAGCTTTCCTTTTTAGTACATAGACTTTTATCAATTTAAGTTCAGTACTAGATTGGCAGCTAGGTCTCATCCTTTTATAGTTGAAATGGTTAGATATAACTGTAAGTTTTATGCCAACAGTTTCTTCTCTCACACTTCTTGTTTGTGCAACTCTCTTTTGACCTCTTGCTTTCCAGTTAACTTTGATTATCAAAAATTTAAATGAAATATCAACTGTTATCATCTGTTGTCTTAAGTTGTTTCCGTTTTCAAAAAGTGTTCCATATTCAGTGCCACATTGGATAATAGATATTACATAGCAGCTCAACACTTAAACATCCTCAAACAACTAGCTATGAAAAAAATTACTCAAGGAAATTTTTTGGTATGTTATGTCAGGGGTTGGCAACCTTTTGTTAACTTTTGCTGACTTCAGTCAGTTATGTGCCATGCATGATTAAGCAATCATGTATCTTTCAATACACAACTGATGAGGCAGATTCTTCCTGCAGTAGGTTGCCATTTCTTTCTGCAGTAGACCAGTTGCCATCCAACGCTATAGAACCTTGTCTGTCCTGCTATTTACCCATAGCGGGGGTGGGGGCAGTAGTGGAGGAGTAGAATAGGATTCATACCATTCCCAAGGGTATTAGCACATAAAGTGAATATAATGGAGCTGACTTAGGCTTTTAAAATCATTCAGTGTGCCAACAGCATATGTATTTTTATACAAGTCAAGGTCAATATACCTGTTGTGGCCTAGAGTGAAATTGAGTTCCAATAGACGTTTACAGGAATGAGTCTATCTGCTTGGAGAGGATGAAACGTTACTCTCTTAGTTTTGGAGGCATTTGCATTTATAAGGCACTATTCAACATTGTTTGATCATCAAGGCTCTACGTAACCTTTTGCTAACTATGTGCCAGCTTAGGGTTTTGAAATTGTTCAGTGTGACAACAACATACATATTTTTATACACGTCAAGGTCAATATACCTGTTCTACAATATATTTTATATAGTAATATACAGTATATATACTTTAGTTTATATTAAAATTGAAACAGATAAATATCTTCTTTGCATTGTTGTAGTTATTGGTTTGGACTTTGTGATGTCATTTGTGGCTGGAAATTGCTTAGTGGGCCACGTATGGCACACATGCTGTAGGCTGCCAAACTTATAGTTATGTTACTTTTTAAATTATATAAAACTGACTTTTTAGCAATTAATTTCTGGTAGCCTCAGTTCTTTTGTTAACTTCTCTAGACTAATAGATATTTTTTTATCCTAGACAAAAATGCTGATATAAATGTAAACAAACCCCTTATTTTAATATGATTGTTTTATCATAACTGAGGATAAAAAATGAAAAGAAATATAGACTAAAAATAACTGACAAAAGGAAAAGTCAAAAATAGCAAAAGTCATAAAATGTCAAAAGTGAATTATGGGACAAAATTATAAAAGAAGTCAAAACTCACTATAACTTTTCCCAATAAAGTTCCATTAGGCCTATCTTCCTTCATATAAAATTGGTATATTGAGTTGTTAAAGGTTGGTGACATGTCATTTACGCCAAGAACTGTTACATTCAGAGTATGGTTAGCAACCTGTAAACAGATAGATATGAACGGATAGATAGATAGATAGATAGATAGATAGAAATACATGCTTTGTCATCCAGACAATTTTAGGTAACTGTAAAATCCCACTTAACTCTTTTTTTATGTGCCGTGTCCCTTCAAGACATAGGAGATCATGGCTCACCACAATTTCCCTTGTAGCAATGTTTTCTTTACCATCCTTTTTTGTTATTGTTCTACTGTCTATTCATACAGATTCATTATCTAGCTTACTTGTTGTTTTCTTCTGCCACTTCTGCTTTCAATCTGACCCTGTGAGTGTTAAATTTTCCAAGCTCTTTTTCCTCATTATGCATCTCAGAAATTTCAAGTGTTTTTTTTTCTGATTTTATTCATAAGTGTCCTTTTAGTGATTGTTTTCTTTAAAAACTTCCCCATTGTTAAGTCCATAATATTTTCCAAAAACCCACAGTCATTAATTGATATTTGATTATCAAATGCATGCGATAGGTGATTATGGTAACATTTAGATCAGTGGTTATCAACCAATTTTGGGCCATACCCCACTTTGGTATTTCTAAAATTTTGGTGCCCTCCCCGTAATATTTGGTCTGTAAACAAGCCTCCAAAGACCATGGCATCCATGAAAGAGAAAAATTAAAAAAAACAAAAAGACAGTTAAATATATATAATTTCATAATATATAATAGAGAATTGAAAGGTAGAAATATAAAATATTTGAATGAAAGTTTATTCTGTAATATAATTTAATCAGTTTAATAAGGAAATAATAATGCAAAATGAAATTGAGCTCATGTTATAGTAAGCCGAAGGTTGCACATCCTATGCATGTCCCACCAAAATATTACCTTGTCCCACCAAATGATGTTCTTCATAGCAATTATTATCCTAATTAATTCTGATTTTATTTGTTATTATCACATTAATTAGTTTCATTATTATCCACTTCTTTATTAAAAACTAGCATCTTCCTCTTTTATATTGTTTTTATCACAATGTTATCAACTATTATAACCACTTCAAACCTCATCAGGAGTAAAGCAAAGAGATCTCCAGTCTATTTAATCTCTTCCTAGACTATGCTCTGTGCAGATACAAGCACGGATGTGAAGAGATGGGCACTGATCATTTAAGCATTCCATACCACATCTCAAATGAATTTATTCATAGAAAAAACATTGTTCCTGCTTTCCCTCCTGAGGCCAATGTACAGATGAAGAAGGAGCAATATGCTGACGACATAGGTATTCATAGTTAGGATAAGAATGATCTAGAAAAGAGCTAAACATCCTCTATTAAGTTTTCCAAGAAATAAGACTCAAAATAATTCTTTACAAACCAGAAATTATGATCTGGAATTGGAATGAAAGCAGTGATGGCACGTACCCTGAGTACATCATAAAAATTCAGGATATGGAATTAATAAATAGTAAACACTTCAAATACATCAGTGTATGGATCAGTTATGACAAAGTTAGTATAGGAGATAAAGAAATTGAACAAAGAATAGATTGTGCTAGAGGTAGTTTTACCCAACACCACATGTTGCTACAAAACTAAAATATTAACCTGAAAACTCAAGTCATGTTCTTAAACAGCTTCATCAGATCTAGACTTTCATGTGGATGTCATGCATGGCACTAAACTCATTCAGAAATATCTAAACTGTCAGCTCTATACAATCATTTTCTCAGATGAATGATTAAAAATTGCATCACACAAATTAACCCTGTTGGATATTCTTTATCAAATCATGCCTTTTCTAGATATTTCAGTATTTCAGTTAATTCCCTTTAGTAAGTCAACTCTCCAAGTTTTTTGTTCACCTCTGCTGTGGCCAGGAATTGAACTCACAACTTTTTGAGTCAAGTCATTTTAATTGATGCTTTTATCCACTTGGCCATGTGTCTTTGGGGTAACAAAGTTATGGCACATGGAATTAGAACAATCTACCCATTTAAATAAAATAAAAGGTTCCATTTGAAATTTCAACATTTATCACCTGAAGAAGAGTGTACAACGACCGAAAACATTGTGAATATGACAATAAAGATAAGGACAACAGTCCGAATAATGTAAATAGTGTAAATATATGCATGCAACAGTGAAGATTTTGGTAAAAAAAAATGAATGACTTACATGTAGTCTATCTGTTACACTTATTTGTAAACTGTAGAAAATTTTTTGTTCTGCATCAAGTTCTTTCTTTAGATATAAAAAGTTGCAATCACTGCAAGAAAAAGAAAATTGTGACCTAAGGAAAATTATAATATTTTGAACATTGAAGCAATTGACAAATTTGAGGTTTCATCACAAAGATCATATTTGGGCCAATTATGACCTTTGTAATGGTACCTATAATACCTTGTAATTGGGCCTCTCAATAATGCAATGAAAACTAAAGACAGGAATTCAAAACCAAAAAAGAACTAGTGGCATGTATTTGGCTCCCCAATTTCACAGAATGTGACACATAGATTTTTATGGACTTTAAATTCTTTAAAATGAAAATGCAAGGTAAGAGATTAGTGCTTCCTGATGGTGGATTCTGAGGATAGATTCCCAACCATGAGGTCCATGGACTCCTTTAGAGACAGATTTTGAACAAGGAATCCACCAACCCACAAAATTGAATTAAATCAGTTTGCTATTTTTGTGTGACAGGTATTCATATATAACAAATTATCATTGAAGAATGTTATACAGTCAGTGCTAAATAACAGTTCAATTAAAATTTATATGGTCAGTGCTAAATAACAGTTCAATTAGAATTTGTAGAGTGGAACAAAATTGTGTTTATTTTCATCTTGAAAATAAAGCTAAATTTACATGTTATTTTTAAAAAGAATCATTGATTCTAAAACTGTAGTACAAAAATGTGCCCTGCATCATAAAATGCAGGATATATGTATGGATTTTTAAAAGGTTGCATGTTGGGTGTATTTTAGGTGGGTGAAGGAAGAAGCATGCAAAAACTTGATTTTCTACTATGGACCGTTTATTCTCTTTTTTATAGAAACTGTAGTGAAAACAAAGTTCTCAATGTCTTTTGGGTATGTCCATTTTTTTTCTGGTCTAAGAGTTAGGGTAAGTATAAGCATCATTATAATGGTTGCACTCAAGTCTACCTTGTGCTGAGTTGAAATGACCAAACTTTTCTCATTTCATTAATGGAACATCAGCATGGTTATACTGGTTGAGCTTGTCAGTCTTGTGCTGAGTTGGAACGACCAAAAGGTTGATTTACTTCATAAGTAGAGGTTTTAGAAGACATGTGTGAATCCCTTTCGTTGGAAAGTAAAAAGGGAGTTTAGTTGTGAGTGGACCTGGGAAACTAACATTCCTTAGTGTGAACGTAATTACCACATCATGCTACATCTTGGAAGAAGAGGGAGAAACAGAGTGAGGAGGTAAAAAAATTTTTTATTTATAAAAAACAGTGCTGCCTAATGGGTGTTTGATGAAGCTAAGTGGGGTAATAAAGTGGGGCATGTTCATTTTCATCTCTCTTGACTTTTTGTACTCTCTCACACATGCTTGTTACACACACACACACACACACACACACACACACACACACACATTCTTATTATAGCTAGTTTCACGTTTTTCCTTTCATCACATGTAATTCCTTTTACAAATACATATGTTGTCATTTGTTTTATATTTATTGCTTTGTGATACTCATTTTTACCAGGACTCATATTGAGTCAGCCAATATTGTTTGTGGGATAAATTTTCCAGGAGCCTTAAATATTGACTCTTCAAAGTGTTGATTCCTGAAACATAATGATTGATATTTACCTAAACATACAAGTATCCTGCAATAATTCTTTAAGTATATATTTTCTAATTGTTATAGCTTACTGATTACTGCACATATGCAATGATATCCTCTGTTCCCATTCTTTTTTGTTTATTTTTGGTCTTTTCTATGCAGCTGATCCTTTCTTGGCAACCTGGAGTTGCCACTCCAAGGAAGATAACTCTTGCATTAACAATGTATTAATAAGATGTTTTGTTTTGTTTTGGGTGGATAAGGCATTTCCTAAATTAATGAGTGCATTAGTTACATCAGTGTTTGAATTGGGAATAACCCCAGTGAATGAAATAAAGGGTTCAGTTCGACATTCCACCTGAAGAAAGCCGGAGCGTACAACGGCCGAAACATTGTGATAAATATGGCGGCAAAGATGAGGACAATAGTCCGAATAATGTAAATAATGTACATAATAATTCATCTCAGAAATATAGACAGACTCTGGGAATAACAAGTTGTCTCCTGAAATACCCATAACAAAAAATGGCAAAATTGAGATGTGAATCCACATAAAGAAATGTAAAGAAATGACAAGAACCAATACATATGTACAAACAGATGATAATGTATTGACAAGAAACGTATACAAGCAACAAAGACAATGATGTATGTAACAAATGAATGTAGAAACCTTTTTGGTCCCAAGTATGTGTAGTGACTGAATCTGTGTCTGTACATGTGTTGTGTATGTCTGGTTAGTTTCTGTGTTTCCCGAAGGAAAGCATGTGTGTTGTGAGAAATTTACATGTTGATGTGTAAGCAGAAAAAGTAAGATGAGGCTGCAAAAAATTATTATAGAGTATTTATAGACTGGAATACATCCCCTAGGAATGGTTTCGACTTGTTAAGTAGAGGTAACCCGACAGTTTGTCTTATTGTTGCATTTAATTTATATTGAAATCACCCGAAACCTTCCAATCATTAAAGCGGAATAAAAAATAACTTTTGATATGACATGGTTTTCAGCTACTTTTCAAAGGTGACTCATGCAAGGATTGCCTCCCCAGGCTAATATTAACACATTTTCCTAACAGAACAAGCTATAGGGACAATCAAAGCTCAGTTTCATGATCAGAAAGCATTACAATTTAACCAGTCAATCATGAGCTGATGTATATCTCTATCAATAAAAGGCAGGATGTGTGTGTGTGTGTGTGTGTGTGTGTGTGCGTGTGTGTGTAATGAATACACAGCCGCAATTTTCGATGGATTTGCGCCAAAATTTACATGCACATGCTCCAAGTTA